TAAGTATGTGTGTGTATATATATATACAAATACAATAAAAATATAGACATATATTTACAATTAAAATTTTATATATAGGTATGTACAAGTGAATTTCTTAGCATGTTTACATTCATATACTGTATCGTATATTGCTTGTTTATTTGTAACAAGGCTTATGTCCTTGTTCGGATTGCACGGGTTTTGCTCAAGTGTACTTTGAAGTTTCTATATGTTTTACAGGCTATGTATAGAGCGATCGATGACATAGCTGTGGACTTGTACTGACGCATGTTCAGTCTATTGTTCTCCCTAAATAACATTGGTTTGTTCATATATTGTCGTCACAGTGTGTATCATAATAGTATATCTAACGTACTCTATTACCCTTCTTGGCATGATCGTGCATAACTGCGTCAGACGAATGCCCATACAATTTTGACCGTATGTGTACACCATATCCTCAAAAGACCAACGCATTACAGTTGGTATTGAAGTTTGATTGTGAATTGATTAAGCGTATTCTGAGTCTGACAAACTAATTCACACTTCTAGGGCTTCGGGAGTGGCTTTTGTAACTATTCGTTACCACCATGGCTCCCAGTACATCAGTTGGGCGGTGATGTCGCCCTGGCATACCTCAGAGAGGAGTACGAATCGAAAGGCGTGGTCAAGCTCGAGGGGTTTAGGTATCAACTGCGGAGTTTGTTCGCGTTATCTTTGCATCTTCATAGTTGCTAGAGCTCTGCGTTCGCTGCAATTCACGACTCTGACAAATATGGCTGAATTAATAGTATTGGGGGCCTACCTCATGTATTGTGTCTATCCCTCTACCCCCCCCCCCTCCATCAAATGCATACATAGAATAAACCCAACAGTCATCAGAAGGATGTGTGGTGAATTGCTCGCGAGAAATGAAGACAACTCAGCCTATGTCTACCCTTCTGTGATGTCCTATGAGAGAATTCAGTCCGTGCGAGAGGTACAACTGTACACTAACGAAAAATGGTCTCAACAGTACAAATCTTACATATCTGACACCACGGGTTTGCATATATATTGCTACCTGCACCCGAATGCTTATCGCTCGCGGCTGGGCAGTATTGTATGCTTGGCCACACTCTCATACATATGTTCTGTCATCCAAACACCATGCATCGTTCCATCTGGCAACTGTATAGAAATCATGGTATGTCATTCGGCGCTAATAGGATAACCACTCATATCTATCTCTATACTGTCACAAGCTTTCTCGTGCATTTTCTGATTTATAGTTTTGAATACAAACTGGTTTTGGTACATCGTAGGTTACGCGACTAGAAAACTTCGTCGGCACCCACCCGAAGTGGAAGGAACTGTGCCTGGATATACTGGAAGCAGCTGTGTCGGATATATGTGGCTATAAGTCGCAGCATAATTGGTGTCTTTACAAAGAGAAACTGAATATAAAACCACCGGGGGGCATGGGCTTCGCACCGCACCTGGACGCACCCTCTCTACAGGTCACAGGTGTGTGTTAATGTTTCCTACCTCGTGTCTATGCACAAGAAATAGCGGCGTGAGTTGATACTCATTGCAGTTAAATTGATACGACGTGTTCTAGGTTGATCCCCGCGAATGTAGTCGAATACGCCCACTTCAATGTGTGCATATGATTGTTTATATCAATTTAACTTCAGGCTGTATGAATGAACCTGCTACACGCTGCATGTGCTAGAACCAATGTGCATTGCCCGTATGTATCTTGAAAGGAAAGATCTTGTGCAAAATCAAGTATCTATGGTGTATATACAGGCCTTGCAAAGGAGTTCGTCACGGTGATGGTTGCAATTGACGATATGACAGTTAGGAATGGATGTCTCCGTGTTGTGAAGAAAAAGTGGAATGCGACTAATATGCTCGAATGTACACAAGCCAGTGCTGGTGACGATCCCGACAGGTACGACGTTTGTCAGTTAGATTTCAACCGTAACTATGCAACACTCAAAAAGGTGTTAGTTGCCTGCCCGATTAGCCGTATAAGAATCAGCTAGCTATACTATGGTAAGAGTTCGAATTGGAGCTTTATATATATATATTGGTTTTGAATACCCTTATTAGAGGCGGACGAGCCGGGGCCATACCGCTGACTGTAGCGGATTCGCTGGTCTTTGAGGATGTGCTCTGTTCATCTGGCGAAATGTATCTGTTCAATGGATATGTACCGCACAGGAGTGGGATGAACACGAGCACGCTGTCGAGGCGTGCTGTGTTTCTAACCTATAACTGTGAGACTGAAGGTATTCTAAGAGATGAATATTATGCAAGCATGAAACAAATGAGGGATACGTTCAAGGAACAAAGTGCTCTCAAGAAGTCGGATGATTTGGCAGAGCTGAATTCACTTAACTCGATACCCGGCGTCGCAAGGTAGCGGTTCATCTATTTTCGATGTTGACTTTTAGTTTAGGTTTAGATTGGCCGAGTTTTGATATGCTCCGAGCAATTATTGATTGGTATATATTTTCCCTTTGATAAAATTGCACTTGATTTCAACTACTTAAAGACACCGAAGGAAAGAGGTCAAATTTCAAGATTAAGGGATACCTGTGAAGTGTTGAGAACGACTCTACCGGCAGCAAAAGTGAAGACGCAATATAAATTCTGTTCCTGTAGCGTAAATGCAGGCTATCAAGTCTCGTCTACGCATCGTTTGTGCTTCGCAAGGTGCATTTTGTTGTTTGTTAAACATGTGTCCGATTGTATCCACGTTGGTCTTAATAGTTGGAGGAGGTAGTTAATAATATGCACACATCAAAGAGATGAAGAGATGAAGAGTGCTCGAATAGAAGTCGAGAAACCGATGGGTTGCAGCTGTCGAGTTCCTGATGATTGTATCATACTGCCTTGTAGAAGATTATGCATCTTATGAGATCACGTATGCAATGTAACTATCTCACATAAGTGACATCTCGATAAACTGCCAACAGACGAGCTTTCAGCCGTTCACTCTCTGGAGAGCGGGTATCCATTTACACTTCCTGGCACCATGTATAGTTGTAAATGTGGTGCAAGAATCCTTAGAGTGCAATTATCTGGCTTGTAATTTGAAACGTTTCAGGCGATCGGAGATGCTTTACCCACGGCAGATGGGAATGCATAACAAGCTCGATAGGTCGGCTACCAACATTATTTGAACTATTGTAGCCTGTCAAAAACTGTCTATTTAACCTAACACCACGAAAAGTATAGAAGACGATATTTATCTACGCATCGCCACAATCAGTGATTCGATAGCAATGTCTGACATGGGAGTGATGAAGAACGCTGCTCACACGCTTTGACAGCAGCGCAAGCCGCCAGACCGGTATTAACTATTTACTGACAGACTTTCTATCAACTACAGACTACATACTACTAGAGAGTCTACACTCTACAGACCGCAGCCTGCAGAGCGCAGACTTTGTGATGACAGTCTTGACTGTTGTTGTTTTTTCCCGACCGAGGCCTGATGAGGCCGAGAGGGAGTCTGAGAGGGGAGCTGTGATACCGCGAGAGCCTCACTCATTTTGGTTGGTTGTTGGATTTTTTAATAATTCCCACTACAAATATTCTAAATTTGGAAAAAGAAATGTAAATTTTCAAAGTGTTCGATGGTCTTCTATCCCAGAACATAAAGAGCACACTCTACATCATACATAGTCGGTACTCATCAGTACTCTCATTTATATATATACGACAAAATAGATCACTTGGGTTGATCATAAATAAAACAGCCTGTTTTTATTGAGCACAAAGTTAGTACAGTAAAGAGAAGACGTAGAGTCGTAGAGTGTAGAGTGTAGACTGTAGAATTGCACATAACTATGGTATGTGCGAGTGAGTACACGCGTCAGTTGGCTATTGTTTTATTATCTACTTGAATTAGACTAGTCTTACATAACTATTTATACAATTATGATGCCTTCGATCTCTATCACTCCTTGATACATCAGGTATTGGCTTTTTTATAGCTAAATTTATATCAACTATATGCTTTTAAACTAACCCATTTATATACTTACGTGATACCGACTTAAACTGGTCACATTGTAAAACAGGGCATCGATCCGATACTAGTAAGTAAAGTAGGGAGGAATGCTGCGTTTGCGTAGAAATATGGCACTAAATATTATGAATTTATGTTTGTGTCCCTGTGTGCTATAGAAATAATGCTACCGCGGCAATTTGAAATTCGCTCCACAACTTTTTAGGCCAATGAGATCAAACTTTTGATTGACAATCATAGATAAAGAAATTATCGGAACTTACAGCGTTTGCGACATTAAGTGCAACTTCCTAACCACTTGACTTATTTCAATAGGAGCGGTGAACAAAATTTGTTGGCATTTTCAAACCGGACGATTGTAGCCTCAAACAAAAGGAATATTGTCCCGATATTCACATTATAGTTAGAAGCGGGAGCCCGCCAAAAGAATTCATACGATAAGCGACTGTAATATTTAGTAAACTATGTATTTGCAATAAATGACACATGTGCCTATGCAAGACTTAAAGTGTAACCACGTACATGCACTCCTTGTCACTCACAAGCGTTAGACTGCTATTATGTCAAAATTACCCGCATGGGTGACGCGAAAGCAGGAGTGCTGATGAGCTATTAGACTACAAGTCTAAAACAAGTTATGCAATCAAGAGAGGCTGCTGTTTTTCAAAATACCCGGACTCGTTTTGCGAAGGTCGTGTATGCCCACCTGTGTCTAGGCGACTCTCATTCGACAACTTGACTCAATTGTATTGACGTTGTTAGATGCACATGCGCATGCGCAATATTTAAAAAATAAATGTCTACACGGGGTGAAGAGAACAACAAACAACGGAATCCAGATTCAATACGAACAATTTGCATGTGTAATAGGCCGGAGAGATGCATAGGTTTGAAGGATCACTCGTTTATACTACCTACAGCAAAGAATGGTGACAAACGTTAAAAAAAATGAATCAAATCTCTTCTACCAAATATTGACAAACATGGGCTTATGCAGGTTATATATATAACAAATTCTTTGCATATAAATGCAAAGCATTCCCTTATGTCTCAACTTGTGTGGCAAAGAGGTGGATTGTGTCCAGGCGATAATGCATTACCAACTTTTGAAATACACTGGGATAATTTATCGCAGTTGTATTATGTACCAAATCACTTACCTGCTCGGTTACAGTGTGTGTGTACAAACGACCATGTAGTATGTGGGGAAGATTTGCAAAACAATCGTCTGTGGTTATCCAGTAACCAGAAAGTTAGAGACGAGCAATTAAACATTTTAGTACGTAATGCAGCTAAAACGACTGCCTGAAGAAAAGATTTCGAGAATGCTAAGGATGCTAAGATACGCATCAAACGAAAGGTAGCTGCTCACCACTACCGCAAAAAACAACTATATGTAATAATCCGGGCCTCCACATTAGACTCTATGTTATAAATGTACTCTTAAGCAGTACGCAAATTCCTAAACGTACTCTTAATAGTACGAGGAACTCAAATTCCTAAACGTACTCTTAATAGTACGAGGAACTAAAGTTATTTTCACATTACACAATAGAGGATATCTCGTTTCACATAGAAACTTGATTGACATATACACCAGGTGCGCCATTCAGAATGGGATTTCTGACTGCGTTCACTAATTCAGACATAACACGCTCTACTAAGCGCTACTAATCACCAAAGTACTACAAATCTAAACCTAGAAGCCAGTGAAGAAGCAAATCCTGCTGATCCAGGCAAACTGCACGATTATGATGCTTTGTTTGACTTTGAGGAAGAGAGCGACCAGGAGCGACCAATACGATCATGGCAATAAATTTTACATGCAGAACAAACCAGTACATCCAACGAAGAAGTCAATTGGGAGCAGTCAGCTGTTGAGAAGGTAATAACCCTATCCCAAACGGATTCAACTTGAAGCACAACCTACACATAACAGCTATAACAGAGCCCTGACATATAACACAATTGTCAAGTGTCGACACAATATTAGTGACACGTACCCCAGTGATTTGAACTCTAAGATAACAATTGCGCGAAGAAGGGTTCCCTCAAGATTCTGCTGTGAATTTATCGCAGCTGAATGTATTGGACAGTATTCCCGCTGCCATCTTTGGATCCACTACTGTGCAAAAGAGTATAGTTTGTGAGTACATCGAGAAAAAATATCAGAAAATAAGCATGTCTTTTCAACAAGTAACTTGGCAGGGATACAAGCGTTAAATGGCAGTATATGGATTTGAACACCAGAACTATAACTCAAACTAGCGAAAGCAAGAGCTGTAATCTTGTGTATGGTCCCTGTTATTCTGGTAGGCCC